CTGATATACTTATCCCTTTAACCTCCACCCATACTATGTATATCCGTGACTTTGAAATTCAATTTCAAAAACCTGACATCATATTTGAAATCAGTGACCTCAAAAACCCCCAACACCAAGTTTCAAATCAATTTGGTTACTTCCAGACTTTTGGCCAGCAAATAGTAGTCGCCAGAGTTTTGAAAGGAATAAATTCCTCCATACCTGGATATTTGTAGGGATGGAAGGACCTTTTGGCCCAGTATACCCTTTTGATCTCTTTAAATATCTCTGCTGCTAATGGGCAACCGATGTAGTTGTTGAGAGGCTGGGTTTTAGAGTAAAAATAATAATAATAGTTTGACACATACACAGTATATTAGTGCTTGGCTGAACTTCTCCTCCGATTTGTGGTGTGGACATTGATGTTTTCGCACAAAGGAGAGGGGCTACAAAAAAAGGCGTTTTCTTTTGTTTTTTTTATCGGAAAATAGCAGCCTAGCCTTTTGAGTGCACCCCGAAAAATGCGCGTTTCCTCGCGTGCCGACGTCCAGTCGCCATTCGGCTTCTGAATTTAAATCGGAGACACCGTGTTCTTTACCAGCACATTTCTCAATCCATTGCCTTCCGACTGTTCTTTCCGCAGTGCTGTTGGGCCTTCCTAATGGCACCCTAAAACTTCCTTAAGTATTCCTTGTAGGCAGGCCAATAACCATTTCGCTTTACTGTATTGATTGGCTCCCTACTTGACATCCTAAGGTAGGCGATTTCACTAGTCCGCCAGTGTGGTTTCCTGTGATGCTAGTAACGTTGATCTTACCAGGCATTGGCCGGTTAGCACTCACGCCAAAGGAACGAACCATACTAGGAGCATAAGAATTCACCACAAGATAAAGATAAATGGAAAAGGCTAGAACTACCCGTTACTCAAGTTAATAAACACACGATTTTTTATACAAATGAATATTGGAAAGAGACCATACCATAGCGTCGTTCTCAACTTTACCTTAACTTTTCTCATTAAAACAAAAATTATATTATACTTTTTTGATTCAAATTTTAATTCCATGAACCAATATTCTAATAACACAATACATTTTGAAAATTACTTTGATCAAAATTCTTCAGAAATATTTTTTTTATTTTTTTATTTTTTTAATAATTTTTTGAGCCTCAAATCTACTTTGCATGAATGCAATGTTTATCCACACTTTTTGCCAGCAGCACCACCACCAGTACTTTTCTTTCCCAATCCACCGCCTCCTTTTTTAGTCGCGGACACCAACAACATTTGACCACTGCTCCAGCACAGCAACAATAAAAGTGGCAACATTAGAAATGTTGATCGCATTTTGCAAATTCAGAAAGAAACTGTAATATTTTTACGAGAAACTGTAGTCCGTTTTATTCGGAAGTCAAGCGCTGGTCACTCACTACCAATTGATTATTGACTCATTTATATTCACATTTATATAGGCCACTGAGAGATTATTTAAATGAAATTTTTGCATCTGTCACGCCTCTGCAGAATTACATTTACTTTAGTAATAGATTATAGTTTTTATTTTTGATAAATTTAATTAGCTGTAACTATTTAGCACGCGAAAGAATTTGCCCTTTTTATTGCTAGTACAAATTTTATTTTGGGATTTACCAGGGGGTTTTCCGATCGCAGCTGTGCGTCATCAATTGTAATTATAGCCTTAACAGATTTCAAGCTAAAGTTCGGCTGCGCAGAATATTTCATTGATCGTTTCTTACATACATATGTATGTATATATGAAATGCGATAAATTAATTGTATACTATTCCATTTAAAAGGTAATTGTGGGCAAGATTTACCGATAAGTCAGCCCAGTCAGCAATGGGGCAAAAGTTCGTCTGGATGATAAATAAGTTTACGTATTTTGTATTCCTAGATATTTGCTCTGTTAAGCACAATTATTTCCGATTAAAACCCGAAAATTTAAATCTTATTCCAATTCATAAAAAGATGTTATCCTGCGTCAATGCCGTGAGATAAGTCTAATAAATATTGTCGACATACTGAGTGAAAAGTTAAAGTCCATTACCAATTAACTGTTTGGGTCTTGGGTTGCATTTTATACCTACTGCCAGGTGCAAATGGTCCTGCCGCCCAATGTGAGTCAGACGCAGACCATGGAGCAGCCCCACTAGGGAACAGACGCTCCTGGATTTGTCGAGGTTGAGGAAGATTGAGGTCCCGTACGTAAGGGTCTACCAGTCATCAAGTTCGTGTCGTCTTCAGCGTTCGACGATGCGCGTCTTATGCAGTCCGAGTACAGTCCAACTTCGGGAGCTCAGCCTTGAGCAAAGATATACCGTCTTGCACCAGTCGACAGATCCTCGTTAGCGATAACCGGGACCCCCAAGTCGTGGTTGAGGTTGGCTTTTGGAAATATATAAACTGTTCAATTACGTGTCTGTAGTGATAGCCAAGCTATACTCAAGGCGTTGTCCAGCCCTCTAACTACTTCCAGATTGGTTCGGAAATGTAAAATTTTTAACTAAATTATTTAGGAAAACACAACGAACTTTTATTGCCAGGTCACTTGGGAGTACCTGATAATGAGGTATCAGACCGTTTGGTCAGAGAGGTATTCCTCGGTCCGAAAGCAGTTATAGCTCTCCCACCCTCGGCCATCGAAGTCACCGTCAGAAATATTTCGCTAAGCAATGACTGGCAGGCTTCGAGAGGATACAGGTGGGCGAAACTCATGTTTTCCTTAATCTCAGAGGGTCTAACTAAGTATTTGTTTTAATTGAGCAGATTAGATTGCACTGCCGACAACTTGTGGGACTGTTGACTGTTATAGTCCGACCCATACTTTTTGTGGTTAAGCATTATGACGATAAAAAACTAAGCGACATTCAAAAGATGCATAGATGAAAAATAATTTTTGGATACAAGAACATCATAAATGCAGAAATTCTCTGTTCTCGGTTTTGCCACAAAAAAGTTTATTTTCCACACTCTGTGATCCTTCGGTATGATATATGGCACAAAATGAAATGAGGAACTGAGCAGTATAATGGCATGGATATAGATAAACGCTTACAAATAAATATGAAGACAATGGAAACGAGCGAACATACTGGAGATATCAAGTGCAGAACGGTCTGCCCATAATTGGTACTCTCGATCTAAACCAGAACACCAATTGGATACTATAATATGTTTACGCATATTTTGGGGGTATGCTTAGGATGCTGATCTAATATACTACCATCCATGGGCGTAGCCAGGTAGGGGAAGGGGGGTACTCGAGCCCTCTCCCCCCCTAACTTTCAAATTTTCCTTATATATATATATAAAATAGTACCCTGAAATGCCAGCTTAATAGGGTCGAGCCCTTCCCGCCCCCCCTTCTTTCTTTTTAGATTTTGATATAAATTGAGTATAATGAAGAAATACCTCTAAGATATGGCAAAATGCGAGGAATGTAAAAAAATAAAAATTGCAAAAGTTATACAACAACAAAAATATTAGGTGTCCCGCCGTAAGCCATTGTTTTTCACATCATATCTCGATAAATATTGGTTGTATCAAAAAAATCAATTAGCACTTTTTTAATGACAAAGAGTCAGAGATTTTTAAAAGATTTCTAATTTTTTGTAAGTCCACTTTTCCATACGTAGGTTAATGAACAATTTAGAAAGTTGCTTAAAAAAACATGTTTGCAGGTTTTTAAAAATCTGCAAAAAATATATGTGAAAGAGTGAATATCAAAGATTTAACTGACAAATTTTTAAAGGGTGTCTCGATATAGGGCCTGAGATATTAATTGTTTAGTAAAGCAGTGACTGAAAAAAAAATTTAATAAATAAAAAATTTAAATTCAAATTACATCAAAATACGTCAAGTGGGCCACTTAAAAACCTTTTCTTTTGAATAACCAAGACAGGTTCGAACTTTGGTAGAGATCCAGATAATATTTGTTTCCCTGTACTTTATTTTGCAATAATCCTCTTACTTTGCGAAAAATCGCGAATTTAAAATTACCAAAATGAAATGATTATGTTAATTTTAAATTCGCGATTTTTCGCCTCAAATTCTCGACTTATTCTTAAAATACCATTTTTACATAGCTTCCCGCACCAAACATTTTTTAGCCAGTCTGTTTATTTACCCATATTAAGTTTTGACATGTCTTTGGAAAGACGACTATTTATATCTACTATTTAAAGATATAATAAATTTTGTTATCACATTGTAAATAAGTGAAAAATTTTTGGATTAAATCTGAAATTTACACCAATTTTTATTACTTTTTCCACTGTGGCAAAATTTTTTGCCGAAATTTCAAACGAAAATAGTATATTGTAGTCATTACTCCCAAAATAATGTTTCATTCCGAGTAAAACTGGGTACCAGTTACAAAAATCAAGACACAATTTCGAAAGTTATGAATTTTCTAAAGATTTTTCCAAAATGACTTTCATGATGTTTCGCAGAAAATTTTAATAATTTGGATTGGATTCATTTTGCGGTTTCAGGAGTTTGTCTAGAAAAAGTTTAAGTTGTCATAATTTTATAATTTTTTATTGATTTTAATAAACGGCACCTAGTTTTACTCGGAATTAAACATTGTTTTCGAAGTAATGACTAAATGACATATTTTCTTATGAAATTTCGGCAACAAATGCTGTTAAAATGGAAAAAATAATAAAAATTGTTGTACATTTCAGATTTATTCCCAGAATTTTTCCCATATTTACAATGTGCTTACAGAACTTATTACTTTTTTAAAAAATACAAAGATTCTTATCTCGAAAACTATATGAAAACTTAAAATTGGTTAAGCTTTTTCAACTTCTCTCCATGCTGCTTATAAACTTTTGTTATTTAGTGCAAATAAATATTCACACATATGTACATACACATGTATTTAGCAAACACATTAATTAATAAAAAACGCTTTCGATTTTTGATTAGCAGTTATGAAAAAATCACAAAACATATTTAATTTTTTTTTTTAATTTAAACAAAAACAATTTCAACATATTGCAACTTCTCATCACCATAACATTGTACAACTATTTTACGACGACCCCTTTTCAATGGCGTTGCACACTTCATCGGTTTAGGTTTATAGGGCTCCTTTCGATCGAAATACTCCGATCTAGCTGCACTCTCATCGTCATCCACATCCTCCGGCAGCTAGCGTCGTTCACCGGCTTCATTGGTATCTGTAGTGGGCGGACGACGTGAGGTAGTGGCCGGACGTCCACGAGGCTCAGGATGTGGCTCGGCAGCGGCTAACGAACCCATGCTACCGATCAAGGCGAGCAGACCAAAAACGAAGAACAACGATAACCACTTCATTGCTGATGAAAATGAGAGGAGTAAAGTTAATTCAATGTTTCACACTTTAGAAAGTAAATAGTTTCGCGACCTGGTTCTGACTAACAGTCAACTGGGTAGATTTGTCCTATTTTATACTATTTTTTTTTAGCGTACATATGTACATATGTAATGTATGTACATATGTACATATTTATGTAATGTCGCAAACATAAATTGCTACAGATATGATCTAACTGTATGTCCATAGAAATTGTACGTTAGCGTAACGAATCGGAATATGTGTCAAATGCGTTTAAATATCCAACTCGAATAGAAGACGGTTTTGTTTATGTTCTATAGATTGCTAAGTTCGATTAGCTGCTAATTGAGTTGTAAATTTTGTCAGAAAATGGGCGGAAAATCACCGGAGCTTTTAAGTATTTATAGCTGAGATTTACAGATAAATGGCAATGGGAACATATTGATGGGAAAACTGATTGAGCTCTGTGGAGGCTTGTGAGAAGTTTCTAAATTTCATTTATGACGGTCAATGAATACTTCTAACAATCAAAAAAAAATATTAATTTAAACATTTTTTAATGTGTAGACATCATTGCTTCCTGTATGGGAAAAAAATTTGCGTAAACCGTAACGCATAAACCAAGACAAATTCAGATGTACGACAAATGAAAACAAACTTTAGCAGCTGTTCTAGCAAAAATGCTCGTTGATATACTAGTTCGGAGCTTCTTCGCAACCAGTTCCAGACATTTTCGGGCCCAGTTCGGGACTTTTTCCGGAACACTTCCGGTGTTATTCTGGACGCTTTGCGGAGTAGTTCTGGATTTTTTTCGGGACCATTTCGGTGCTAGTTCGGGACACAGATGTTTACACAAAAAAGTTCGAGACGTTTTTGGGACTAGTTCGGGTCTTGTTCAGGACTTTTTCGGGGCCATCTCGGAACCATTTTGAGACTTTTTCGGGGCTATTTCGGAGTGTAACACAGTTATACACCATTTCCGGGTAGTTCTGGGCTTTTTTCGGGACCATTTCGGGTCTAGTTCAGGACACAGATGTTTACATAACAAATTTCATGAATACCTGGTACCTTTTTACAAACACTTTTCGAAATTTAATACAATTATATTCAACAATTTTTTTTTTTATGAGCTTGAGGCCATTTTTAATGAAAAACGTATTGTGGAAAAGCAACAATGATGTGAAAACACGGTAGAAGTGATAGCTATTTCGGAAATCACCACATTTCCTCATCAGACTTTTTTCAGTAGGCTTCGAACCGACGATCCCACTGACTGAGCCAGTTGCCTATGCACAATGCCTAGTGGAAATTCGGCATAATAATAAATTTAAGAAAAGTATAATAACGAATGCTTTAAATTCGAAAATTTTTCAAATAGGCGATTTATTTTCCTAGGTTGTTTAAGTTTAAAAATTTACATTCTCCATGTCCAGTTAACAGAGTTGCGTTTATTAATGCTCCACAGGTCAATGTATCGAGTGATGATGATGATGGCCCAATACCACTACGGGATGCGAAACTATCACGGGATGTGCGACAACTACAGGATGTACAACTTTCGGCTTTACCACTACAACAGGATGCTCAACAAGCACTATATGATGGTCATGATGCCCATGATGATGATGATGTAAAATGCCTGGTGCTGCGTTCACACAAAGCCACATGGTAATGAAGCCGAAAATGCAGAAAAGTGTATTAAAACGCATTTTAACGCAAGTCCGAATGGTTTCTTCCTCCAAATAATACTGAATTTTTCGGACAACGCTGAATGGTTTTATAGCTTGCAAATAGAAAATTTTAAAAGAATTTATTAACCACAACAAATTTGAATTATAGTGGCATTGAGCGCTAAATGCTGGTCAGATTTGCAGATGTTAAAACACATGTGCACATATGTACATATGTACTTAAATGCAAGTATTCTAATACATGTATGTGAGCATAATTATATATGTACTCACATACAATTATTTATATACAAACAATTAGCTTTTTTTTAAGGTAGAGTGTAAATATGCAAAAGTTCTTTATTACATATCAAATGTAATTGCGTTTTTGGACATTAATTCTTTAAAAATACAAAATACTTAGCTCTAGTCCGTGTTCACTTAAAATTTTTAAAAATTACATTTACTTTGTAACAGTTGGAAAATAATCGAGTTTTTCTGACATCAACACGCTTTGACGGTCTCGCCTTCAAGCTGCAGGCATGAAGACTTCTTCAAATTCTTCCCAAACTTTTTCTCAAATTTTTTCTGTTGTTTCTCCGTTAGCTCTTCGACACCAAGTTTAGAAACATATTTTTTCAGTACATGTTTCTTTAATTTTTCCACAGTAATTCCTTCCGCATTCTTTCGCGCGATTTTGTCAATAACCGCGCTCCATTCAAATGCATCGCCACCATCTCCGTTTGCCCCTAATGTTGTATCTGTATTCAAGTCATCAGCTGGAATTACTTCTTCTGTTTTAGACTCTGCTTTCTTTAATTTCTTTTTTGGAGGAGCATCTTTTGTATTAATATCAGCTACAGTTAAAGCTTCAGATGCATTTGCTTTATTCTTCTTTTTAGCTGGCTTAGCATACTCATTAGCTAAATTGTTGACCACTTCTGTTTTGTTGGCTTTCTTATTCTTTTTCGATTTCTTCTTGGCTGTCTCCTCCTGTCCGATCTCTTTGGGGGCATCGCCACCATCTTCGTTTGTCTCCAATGCTCCTATAATCAGTTCTTCTGTTTCAGTCTTTGCTTTCTTTGATTTTTTCTTCGGAGGTTGCTCATTTCCATTAATATCACCTAAAGTTGCAACTTCAGCTTCATTGGCTTTATTTTTCTTCGATTTCTTTTTAGCTTGCTCAGCACATTCACTAGCTGCATCGTCGACCACTTCTCCTTCGTTATTTTTGGTTTTCTTATCTTTTTTTGAGTTCTTCTTGGCGGTCTCCACATGTCCATTCTCTATAGATGTATCGCGTTTTACTCCATTTTGATATGGTCTATCTTCAACAGGCGTCACATTTTCTTGTTGCTTCGTAGACTTCATCTTTTCCTGCTCCTTTTCAAGCACGCTCCAAACTTCCTCCGCCAAACGCATTGGCATTTTCATGCAGTTTTTTACAAAATTTTGGAATTTCGCCTTTTTTCGTGGTACGTTGTCCACACTCTGTAACCGTTGGAATGCGCTACGTGCATGTTCGCTCAATTTGTAATCGTCTGAATCGAGTATCGCACGTATAATGTCCATCCAACTTTCCTGTTTTTTTGCTCCACTATTTTTAGGCTCTTTATGGACGTAATCTTTACCCGAGTACTTTTGGGCCTCTGTTATGCATTTGGTGTGCGCTACATACTCCTCTGCATGGAAGTCTTTAAGGCAATCCATGCAGGATACATTTTTTGTTGCACCTCGACATTTTGTGTTGTAGTGTTTCTCAACAGCTGGCTTTTTCACAGATTCGCCACAATGATTACAGGTAAAGAAAACCATGGCAATTACTTATTTTCTTTGCAAAATTAGCGGCAGTATGAAACACGAAACCTAAACAAACCGCACGTGTTAAAAAGAAAGCGCTGCCAGATGCCAGACGTCATAAACAGCTGTTGAAATAAATTTGTTAGCAAATACAGCGGACATCAAACTGTTGTGTTGTTGGAAAGCCAGAAATTGTT